ATGGGATCAACTGTTTTAGCTGCATAACTCCATCACTTTCTGTAAAGGATCATGTATCCACCCATCTTACGAGCTTTTCCTTTGACCTCCATCAGACAAGGTTCATTGTCATTTTAGGTTAAACCTTTATAAGTGGTAAGTGCTGGCCCGACATATTAGGAGCCCCAAGGTACTGTGAAAGAGTCTTCTATTTTAGGATAAACCCTTCTCACTAGTCTATGACACCCCTATCATCCTATGAAACAATCTCACTATCTCAGTAAAACCAATAACCCAATTTTATGGTGCATCTCCACCCACCAATTCAGCCCGTTTTCATGCTAATAATAGAATGTCTTTAGAGATGTCATCTTATGATATTCCCTATCTTATTGCACTTATATTCGCCGCCTGAACCTCCAATTCACCCCAAATTCCCAATCAAACACTCTCGATCTCTCAGAATCACCTCAAAACCCAAAAATCCTAGCTTTCAACCCAAAAGCCCCCAAATCCATCGTTAAACCTTTTTAATACCAATCTGATGGCCCCGATCGACCCCCACTTACACCTTAACCAATAGATCAAACATCACCATCATATCCCAAACACCTCCAAATACCCACCTGTAAAATTTCATCCAAAAACATCTTTTCTTACCCCTTCATCGCACCAAGGTTTCATTTTAAGGCTCTAGATTGACCGGATTCCAAGTCCTTCCGATCTGAGCCCATTTGACCCGATCTGACTTTACCAGTCACCCAAGACTGCCTAAAAAACCTTATCCTATGAAATTTCACCTGAAATTGTATTTGTTTGCTCCTTCATCGCACAAAGATTCCATTTTGAGCCCCAGATTAACTGAATCGAGCCATTTCTAGATATGCCCAATCTAGGCCTAGTTGGGCCAATCTGACCCCATCAATCAACTCAAAATATCCAAAAACCCCATCCTATAAAATTTTAGCCAAAATGCCCTCATTTATCCTTCCATCCAAAAAGATTCCGTTTCGGTCAATCTTACTAACTCACTCTTTGTGGTCAAACCCATCTCAACCCTCCACATTTTTTACCCGGAACCACCCATTGTTGAACCAAGAACCCGGTTCAAGCTCTGGACCCAGTTTAACTCAACTTGTCAAAATTTACCAAAATACACCTCTAATTTCCTTGAACTTACAAAAACACCCCTGGCGCCATTTAAAAGAGACCGACCCCTTCATTTTCGCCCTAAGCAGAGAGATCTGGCGACACCATTCTTCTTCATCCCCGTTCAAACCCAGCGGCAAAGCGGCGGTTGATTTCTCCATCCACTGACGGGAGCACCCCCTCAGCCACTCTCTTCCTCTCTCTTTTCCCTTCCTCTTCTCCTTCTTTCTTTCTTCTCCTTTTTCTTCTTCTTCCTCTCTTTTCTGGTTGGGAGAAAAACACTGTTCATCTTCTTCCTCACGGCGACAGAACCTGAACCAGCGACGATCTCCCCACAGAAACGAGGAATTAGCATTGATGAGCAGTTTCAACTGTCTAAATTTCCCGGTTACTGAAATTCCAACCAAGTCAGATAAACGAATTAGCATTCGAAGAGACCATCCTTGTTCGCGGATGGACCACTCAAAGCTGTAGCAGACCAGCTTCTCACCCTTGTTCATCATCGACCGTTCCAGGCTAGATTTCCCTCAACTTCAAGCGGAATGTCGCTCTCCTCTTCAACACTATCTCCAAATCTTTATCGTTCGAAGAGGAATAAGACTAAGGGCAGCTTCAACTCCCCATTCACCGATTGTTCTCAGGCCATATTTTAATCTGGTAACACTCCTTGCTCCATCTATGTTTGGTTTTATTTATGAGATTGTTTTCTCATTGGGTTTTTCCACATCTGCAGATCCTATGTCCCATTAGGAGAGGGGTTAGTAAGTGGTCAAGACGCGATGGACTCTACTCCCCGCGGTCGCACCCAAAACCCCCAAACCAGCCACCAACTTGAGAAGCCCATTTATCCAATGGGTGGAGGTTTGAAGGTTGGCAACCTTGTTGGAGCCTTTTGAGTTTAGGTGTCAACCCTCCCCTCATGCATCACACTCCACGTGTTAGCCTAGTCACTTAGGATGTCAGCCCCCTAATTTGTTTGCTTGCATACCCCTTGTGGGGCCCACATCAAAATAATAACAAAAAATATAAAAATATAAAAAGAAAACAAAAATAGATAAAATGCCAAAAGTCTAATAAAACTATAACAATAAAATCAAAATTAAAAGAAAAAATCATAAAAAAATTTCAAGAAGAGATAGGAAGGATTAGCAAAATTACACATACAAGAAAATAAAAAAAATTAAAAAAAAATTAATTAAAAACCCAAAAAAATTGAAAAAGAAGAAAACAAATAAATAATAAATAAAAAAAGAAAAAGGGTAAAAAAGGGAAGAAAAGGAAAAACGTATATAAAAAAGGGGAATATATATCAAATAATCCAAATTCTCAAAAAAAAGAAATAAAAATTCAACATATACATATATATATATATATGAAAAAAGAAATCCAAAAATAATAATAACAAATTCGAAGAAAAGGGTAAAGTGAAACAAAAAAAAAATCAAAAGTGGACAAAACAAAAATAAAACAAAAAGTTACAATACAACAATTGGAAATAAAAAATACAAATATAAAAAAATGAAAATAATAAAAAATAAAAAATAGTAATAAAATAAGAAACTAAAAAAAATCAAATCAACAAAATTAGAAACACAAAAGGAAAAAGAAAAAGAAAAAAAATCAAAGCAAAAATAAAAAAAATTATTAAAAGGTCAAAAAAATAATAAATCCAAAAAGAAAGAGAAAAGAAAAATAAATTGAAAAGCATCAGTAAAACAATAGGAAAATGAAAAAGCATAATACATAAATAAGCAATAGATAAGGATAATAAAATGAGTTAAGGGAAAATTGTGGATTAATCAACAAGAAAAACAGAGAAATAAGTTATGGAGGAAAAGAGAATAAAAAAAGAATAAAAAGGATGGAAAAAATCGGAATAAAAATAGTAGGAAAAGTTAGCTGTGTTTGGATAGATAAGAAAGTAGAAATAGCATAAATCTATATGAAGATAAAAGGGGGTAATGAAGAAAATCGAAAATCAAAGAAAAAAATATAATAAAAAATAAAAAATCAAATCATCAAAAAAAAGGAGAGAAATGAAGGAAAAATAATGATGATAAAAAAATAAAAATTAACAAAAAAGGGAAGAAAAGCGCTTTTATAAAAAATAAATGATGTTGATAATAACAAATAAATAAGCAATAAAAAAAAGAGTCTTGAAAAATAAGAAGACATGAAGATCCCTTGTCACAATCCAAGATTCTTGAGTTTTTCTTTAAGCGACTAAGTTTTTAGAAAAAGTAAACAATAAATAGATAAAAACAATCCAAAATAAAGGGGGGAAAGGTATAATGATGAAAAGAAAGAAAAAAGTTTTAAAGAGGATTAAAAAAAAAGAATTGATAAGAAATAAATTGAAAATGCAAAATGAAGAGGGTGAGAAGATCCGTTGTCATTAACTAAATTTCTGGGAGTATATGTTGGTCGATTGGAGTTTTGGAATTGAAATAAAATTACTTTATCAAATCAAATGATAAAATAAAAATAAAAAATAAAAAAAAGAGAGAGGAATTTTGCGAAAGAGAAAGAGTTTGACCTTTTTTCCTTATTCTTCAACCTGATTTCCTTGTACCCGCTGTAATATCAGAATGCAACATATGGTTCTTCTTGGATATGAATTTTTTCGACGCCTGTGAACTGCTATGAGGGTTTGTGAATGGTTGCTGCAGCTTGCATGTGTTAACGATATTGACATGGATGATAGCGGCGTCTAGCATGTAAGATATCTGGATTCTAACTGTCCATTGGTGTGCCAATTTATAAGCGTAGAGAGTTCACCATCACCTTCAGGCCAGAAGCACAACCAGCATACGCCCATGTACAAATTTTCTTTTGTTGGGACCCATAAAGATCTTTGGTATATTACACGAGAAAGGTCCTTGCCTGAAGTAGATTCAGCTTTGGTAGCACTGAAGGAAAATGGGGGCAATATTGATTCAAGGAATACATTTGGTCTCACTCCTCTTCACATCGCAACATGGAGAAATCACATTCCAATAGTGAGGAGGCTATTGGCAGCTGGTGCTGATCCTGATGCTAGAGATGGAGAATCAGGATGGAGTAGCTTGTACAGGGCTATTCATTTTGGTTATCTTGCTGTGACAAGCGTTCATCTTCAATCTGGTTCAGCATTGGTTTCTTGGAAAACCAAGAAACAAAGCACAGCCTCAAGGTCTTCCGTAGAGGCTGAGTACAGGAGTCTTGCCTCAACAGTGTGTGAAATTCAACGGTGCACTTATATTCTCAATGATTTTCACATCCCACTTCAGCTTCCTGTAAACTTGTGGTGATAATCAGGTTGCACTTTGCATAGTAGCTAACCCTGTTTTTCATGAAAGAACCAAGCACCTTGAGATTGACTGCCACTTGGTGCGTGAAAAATTCAAGGCTGGATTGGTTTCTCCTCAGCACATCTCTACACATTAGCAGCCGGCAGATTTATTCACTAAATCTCTTTCAGGCCCTCAGTTTTTCAAGCTACTGTCCAAGTTGGGCATGGCTGATCTCAATCCTACTCCAACTTGAGGGGGGATGTACAACTGCTGTAATTTTAGTGTAGCTCATTTAGTTAGTTATTGATTCTATTAAGTGAGTTAGAGAATTCGTTAGTTAGTTTTAGTGAGCTAGCATTTTGTTGTTATTCTTTCTGTTAGTTACAAAGTTTGTTATTCTTTCTGTTAGTCTCTTGGTTTTGTAAATAAGCTCATGTAAGCTACTATTAGTAGAAAGTTTTTTTGATGAATGAAAAGTTTCTCTTCTTTTTTTTTCTGGTTTCGAACTGTTCATGGTATCAGAGCTTCAAGATCTGGTGTTGTGGATACTCTTGAATCTTGATTGAATCAATTGTTACTCTTGAGCTTGAATAATCGATAATGGCTGAGAATCAAGGAGATTCTCCTAGATTGGATCAAGTGATCAATGGAGAGAACAGAGATTTGTCGAAGGATCTTAACAATGGAGATCCTCTTTACTTGCAAAGTTTTGATCATCCAAGGATGATTTTGGTCTCTACTCCACTGACAGGTAATAATTTCCTAACTTGGAGCAAATCGATGATGATTGCACTTGAAGCAAAGGTTAAGCTAGGGTTTATTGATGGAAGTTGTGAGAAACTTGAAAAGGAATCACCTCTATATAAACAATGGAATAGAGTGAATTGCATGGTAATTTCATGGATTTTGAACTCAATGTCGAAAGAAATTGCTGAGGCTTTCTTATATTCTGGATCTGCCAAAGAATTATGGGATGAGTCGCAAGAAAGATATGGAGAGAGAAATGGTCCAATGCTTTATCAATTGCAGAGAGAAATAAGCACAATCTCTCAAAACAACATGTTTGTGGCTCAGTATTATACAAGATTGAAAAGATTTTGGGATGAGTTGAACTGCCTACAGCCTATTCCTCATTGTGAATGTGGTGCAGCAAGGTTAATGTCAGATATTACTGAATCAAATAGGCTAATGCAGTTTCTGATGGGGCTTAACGATAGTTTTGACAATGCAAAGGACTAGATTCTTCTCATGGAGCCATTACCATCTGTTAACAAAGCATATTCTATGCTACAGAAGGTAGAGAAACAGAAAGCAGTCCAGATGACATTTACTAATAATAATGAGAGCACAACCTTATTTGCAAAGCCTCAGGGAAATCTGAACTACAAGAAAGATGCACGAAAGCCAGGGGAAGGGAGAGAAAGTTACAAGAAGTCTGATTTTAGCAAAAAAGAAAAGGAAATCCAATTTTGTGATCATTGCAACAGGAATGGACACACAAGGGAGACTTGCTTCAAAATACATGGCTATCCTGATTGGTATAAAACCTTGAAGGATCAGAGAGCAGCTAAGAGAGCTAATGCCGCCAATTCTACTGAGTCAACACTTGATTTGCTAGCTGACAAGACTGAGAAAGATACAGAACAACTATCCAGCTTCATTCAACAAGAACTTGCAAAGCTGCTCAAAGGGAAGATGATTGTCAACAGTAACCATGCTAGCCTTGCTMATTATGAAGATTATGCAGGTATAAATTTTGCTCTTACTTTTGCTTTGAACACACTTGATTTATATGGACATGGGGTTTGGATTGTTGATACAGGTGCCTCAAATCATATGTGCAATGGTATTACCCTTTTTACAGAACCTAAAACGCCTTTACACAAAACTCCAGTTTACCTACCTGATGGAACCACAAAACTAGTAAAATCAATTGGAGATATCCATTTACATTCTTCTTTAACATTTAAAGATGCCTTATACCTACCTAGTTTTACTTTTAACCTCATGTTAGTAAGTAAACTTGCTAAAACTTCTAAAATTAAAGTTATCTTTTATCCTACACATTGCTTGCTGTAGAACCTGAGGACTGAGAAGAAGATAGTTGTTGGCAGATTGATAGGAACCTTGTATGTGCTTGATAAGTCTAGTTTTTCCATTGAAACACCTCATTTCTGTAATAAAGCTAATGCACATGTTGTGCCAAAGCTGAATACTCCTTGTATTGATTCTGTTTCACAAAATAATAAAGCAGTGTCTTCATTGTTCCTTTGGCATAAAAGATTGGGTCATGCTTCTGTTAGAACTTTGAAACATTTGCATTTCATGGCTCAAACAGAATTAGATACTTTTCCACCTTGTCAAATCTGTCTCAATCTAAACAAACCAGGCTTCCTTTTCCAACTAGATCCATTCAAACTTCCCATATCTGTGATCTTTTGCATGTTGATCTATGGGGTCCTTATAAGCATTCATCTATTGCTAGAGCACACTTTATGCTCACAATAGTGGATGATTATAGCAGGGCCACATGGACTTTCTTAATGGCACATAAATCCCAGACAGTTACCATTCTTACCAGGTTCATTCGAATGGTGGAAAACCAATTTGCTACAAGAGTCAAAATTCTCAGGTCAGACAATGGTTCAGAATTCTTAAATCATGAGTTTCAAACATTTCTTGGTGAATTAGGCATCTTACACCAGAGAAGTTGTGTTTACACTCCATAACAGAATGGTGTTGTGGAGAGAAAACACAGACAGCTCCTTCAAATTGCTAGATCCTTGTTATATCAAGCWCACCTACCTAKAAAATTTTGGGGTCATGCCTTGCTTATGGCTACATATATAGTGAATAGGCTGCCTTCTTCTGTTTTGCAGTGGAAAACACCTTATGAGCTTTTGTATAACACTCTTCCAAACTATGACAATTTAAAATGTTTTGGTTATTTGTGTTTTACAACCAATACAAGACCTCACAAAGACAAACTTGATTCAAGAGCCCTTAAATGCATTTTCATTGGCTTTGAACCTGGACAAAAGGCTTATAAGCTGTATGATCTTTCTACTCATCAAATTTTTACATCTAGAGATGTAATCTTTCATGAAACAACTTTTCCATTTGTTGATTCTAATCCTAAACCTCTTGATGTTCCATTGCATTTACCATTTGATGATCCTATTTCTTATATTGAAAATTGCACTCCAGATCCTATTCCTTCTAATGATCCTATTCCTTTTACTGACCCTTCCACTGCATTACAAGATGACATTCAGCCTAACCTAGAGAGTCAACCTTTAGAACATGAAATCCAGACACAACCTGATTTTTTACCTGCATCATCCTCCATTCCTAAAAGACAAAATCAAAACCTGCTTGGTTGAATGACTTTGTCACAAATTTTAGCTTTACAAATCCATCATCTCCTGCTGCTATTACTTCTCAGTCACAATGTTTGAACCCTTCCCCTTATACACCTCCCACATATCCGTATACATCCAATTCTGTTTTTTTCTCATGCATATATGCAATTTTTGGGCAATGTATCTCAATTTCAAGAACCTAAATCCTATAAACAAGCTAGTGGTTAGAAGGAATGGGTTGATGCAATGAATAAAGAGTTGGCTGCCTTAGAACAGAATGAAACATGGGAGTTGACTGCATTACCTGTTGGAAAAAAGGCCATAGGCTCAAAGTGGGTATATAAGGTCAAATTAAATCCAGATGGAAGTGTGGAAAGATGCAAAGCTAGGCTTGTAGCTAAGGGTTATAATCAAGTGGAGGGGGTTGACTATTTTGACATCTTATCACCTGTTGCAAAGATAGTTACTGTCATAATTTTTATGGTGATTGCAACTGCTAAACAGTGGCTTATCCATCAGCTTGACATCAATAATGCCTTTTTACATGGCTATATTGATGAAGAAGTCTATATGACTCCACTAGAAGGATATACAAAGGCTAAACAGGGTGAAGTGTGCAGGCTTAAAAGGTCTTTGTATGGGCTTAAGCAAGCATCAAGGCAGTGGAATTCAGAATTTTGCTCAAAGTTAAAGGGTTATGGCTTTGTTCAATCTTCTCATGATCACTGCCTTTTTATCAGAAAGTTAGATCAATCCTTCTTAGCTCTCCTGGTTTATGTTGATGATGTTTTAATTATAGGTGATAATGAGAAGGATATTATCAAGGTGAAACAGTTTTTAGACTCTACTTTTACCATTAAAGACTTGGGTTATGCCAAGTACTTTCTTGGTATTGAAATTGCTAGAAATTCAGAAGGAACCTACTTAAGTCAAAGGAAGTATACCTTGGACTTGATTAAGGATGCAGGGCTTTCAGGTGCTAAGCCAGCAACCACCCCATTGCCAAAAGGTCTTAAACTTTTCAATAAATCTAGTGCTTTGTTGTCTGATCCTGATAAATATAGAAGATTGGTGGGAAGGTTGTTGTATTTGAATTTTACAAGACCAAATATTACTTTTGGAGTTCAGCAAGTTAGTCAATTTGTTGCTGCCCCAACCATGGATCATTGGAATGTTGCCTTACATGTCCTTAAGTACCTGAAAGGTTCTCCAGCTAAGCTAAAGGATTATTTTACTCTGTTGATAATTCATTGAAACTTGAAACTTACTGTGATGCAGATTGGACTTCATGCCCTGATTCCAGATGTTCCTTGACTGGTTATTGTGTTTATATTGGTTCAGCATTGGTTTCTTCGAAAACCAAGAAACAAACCACAGTCTCAAGGTCTTCTGCAAAGGCTGACTATAGGAGTCTTGCCTCAACAGTGTGTGAAATTCAATGATGCACTTATATTCTCAATTATTTTCACATCCCACTTCAGCTTCCTGTAAACTTGTGGTGTGATAATCAGGTTGCACTTCACATAGTAGCTAACCCTGTTTTTCATGAAAGAACCAAGCACCTTGAGATTGACTGCCACTTGGTGCGTGAAAAATTCAAGACTGGATTGGTTTCTCCTCAACACATCTCTACACATCAGCAGCTGGCATATTTATTCACTAAATCTCTTTCAGGCCCTCAATTTTTCAAGTTACTGTCCAAGTTGGGCATGACTAAGCTCAATCCTACTCCAACTTGAGGGGGGGATGTACAGCTGCTGTAATTTTAGTGTAGCTCATTTAGTTAATTATTTATTCTGTTAAGTGAGTTAGAGAATTAGTTAGTTAGTTTTAGTGACCTGGCATTTTGTTGTTATTCTTTCTGTTTCTGTTAGTTACAAAGTTTGTTATTCTTTCTGTTAGTCTCTTGGTTTTGTATATAAGCTCATGTAAGCTACTATTAATAGAAAGTTTTTCCGATGAATGAGAAGTTTCTCTTCTTCTTTTTCTTCTAGTTTCGAACTGTTCAGGTGCTCGTAGAGAAGTGTACACCTGCAGATTTTGTTTATCTGTTCATCTTTACCGTCCTGTTTATCCTCCTAATATTGCGGGGAATTCTCAGAGGCTGAAATTAGATGGTGACTCCAAATTGCAAAGCGAAGTGAGGTCAACTCTTGAAAGCTTGCTTTCTGAGCTTGGTGTTTCAGTGAAGACGCAAGAGAAAGAATCAGATGGAAAATCTAGTAACTAGGTTGGGTTATCAAGAAAGCAAGTGAAGAATAAGAAGGTGACACAGGTAGAAACAGCTGTTGGAAATTGTAAGACCGTCTTAGAACCAGACCCTGTAAAGGGCTTTGTCGATGTTGAGGTCTCGGAAGATTTGGAAATTGAAGGAATATGAAAAGCGGAAAGCCAAAAGAGAGAGAGAGAGAGAGAGGAGAGAGAGAGAAGGAAAATTCAAAACAAAAAAATAAACCATGTTGCAATCCAAAAACCCATTTCTTTGCTTCGTGGTTTGAAGGGGCTTAAAACCAGAAAGTAGAATAAAATCATTGTGGCATTTTCTAGTAGAATCGATGGCCTTTTGAGGCAGAGCATGTCAAAGAAAATTGTATCAAATGGACCGGTTCCTGTCCCAGGCTCCCAGCTATAATGTCATTCGTTGTATGACCACAAAGCTTTTCATTGGAGGTCTTTCATATGGGACGGATGATCAATCCCTCAGAGATGCATTTTCCAGTTTTGGTGATGTAACTGAAGCAAGGGTTATCACTGACAGAGACATTAGAAGGTCCAGGGAATTTGGTTTTGTGTACTTCACCACTGATAAGTCTGCAAGTTCAGCATAGCCATGGATGGCCAGGAACTAAATGGGCGGAATATTCGTGTTAGCTATGCTAATGATCGACCACGTGGTGGAAATTTTGGTGGCGGAGGCTTTGCTAGTGGTTATCGCGGTGATGGAGACTTTGGTGCTGGTGCTGGAGGAAGGGATGATGGGTTCTAAGGAGTAAGGACTATTAGCTTTTTGTAGGAATGCAAGTGCTCTTAAGTTGCTGGGTTCTTCTTTTAAGGGATTTGTTAGACCACGTCAATATGATTTTAATACAAGTTGTCTACGCCTGTTTCATCTTGCTTGTTAAAAAAAAAAAAGAAAAGAAAAAAGAAAATAACATATAAAATATCTCAGGACAGTTGCAAACCACGAACAATTTGTCAATGCATGCATAAGCCTCGAGCTAAAAAAACAGAGAAGAAAAATAAAGAAGGAAAAAAGAAATAAAAATGAATAAGAAAGAAAATAAACAAAAATCATGTAAATAAGAGAAATTCTGAATATTTCTTTAGGGTAGTTAAAAAAAATTAATTATAGCACAAATGTATAAAAAATAACTAAGAATTAAAGATCTAAAAAGAGAAAAAGAGGTAAAGAAAAGAAAAAAATTAAAAAAAAAAACAAAAACACAAAAATTAATTAAATTCAAAATCAATAATTAAAAAAAAAACAAATATAATCACCTTTCACCTTAGATTAATCAAATAGTAAAAAAAAAAGAGAGAAATAATAGATAAGTAATAACTACTTTATAAAATGTGAGATTTGTACATAATGATAACATGAAACAAAAAAAAAGGAGAAAAAAGTAAAAAACAAAAAGAATGTCAAAAATATTTTAATAAAAGTAAGACAAAAGTCCAAAAGTAAATAAAAATGAAAGCATATTGAAAGTCAAAAAGCTAAAACACAATATACAAAAAAAAAGGAAGATTCCAAAATCCAAGGAAAATGCAAAAAAATTGGAAAATCCTAAAATAAGAAAATAAAAATGCAAGAAAAATAAGAAAAGAAAAAAATCCGAAATATAAAAAAATCCAGAAAACACAAAAAAAGGGGAAAATATAAAATCCATAAAAAGAAAAAAATCAAAATACAAAAAAAAGAGAGAAGAAAAGCCAAATTTCAAAAACAAAGGGAGAAAATCTAAAGTGCAAAAAAAAATTCAAAATACAAAAAAAAAAGATAAAAATCCAAAATTCAAAGAAAAAAAAAGGAAATCCTAGAACATAAAAATGGGAACAAGTCAAGATATGAGAAAACAAAGAAAATTCAAAAAGAAAGAGAAAGGTTAAAGAAAAATCCAAAATATCAAAAAAGGTTAAAATAAAAAGAAATGGGAAAATCCAAAGTTATGACATATAAGAATAAGCAAAATATGAGATAATGGTGCACAATGATCTAATTGATGTCCTTTTCATAGGAGGTTATTCTTGAATATCCAAAATTCAAAAAAGCAGTGTGGTTCAACCCAAATTCTTTATCATGTCTGAAGTCCCTCCTAAGACTGATTGCATCTCTCAAGCAACAGTTTCGCCAAACACAATGAAGACAGTGCCAGCTCATTTCCCTTATAGTGACTACCTCCATCTCCAAAAGACATTGAATGAGATATCTATCAACTTGGCCAAATTGGAAGCCGATAAATCCCAAACTACTCAATCTGCTCCCACGATGGGAACCCAACCATCTTTCCCTCATATATCTTGTGCCTTTGCATCATTTTCATTCCAGAACTCTAGTCCCATCCCAAAAACAACATATTGGTCATCTCCCTTTGTTTTTACTACGGGAACCAAACAGGCTCATTAGTCAATGACATTTCCCACTCCTAACTTTGAGAATTCAACCATGCTTCAACCCACTATTGCATCCTTGGGAGGAAAGAATTTGAATATGATTTCCATCCAATCTTTACCCCAATATTCTCTCAAGATTGAAATAGAGCAAATGAAAGATGATTTGAAAAAGATAAAAGAAGTTCAGAATTTGAGAGTTACAGATTTCAGAGAATTGTGCTTATACCCTGATGTGGAGTTACCTGTTAAGTTCAAAATGCTAGACCTTGAAAAATATGACGGGAAGGGATGCCTACAAACCCATCTGAAGATCTTTTGCGGTGACATGTTTCAATATAGCTCAAATGAGAAATTACTCATTCAAATGTTTCAGAAGAGCCTTACAGGGAGTGCTAGAACTAGGTTTG